GTGAAAAGACTGGTGTAAGAAAATACTGCTGCGTCTATTGCAGGGGCCTCACCTGTACCACTTCTCCTGCCTCCTCAGCGGTGTTGCTCAGTCCCCTGCCATGTCACCTGCTCCCACTCTCTGGCTTCCCCTGGGCATATCCGCAGGCTTTCCCCTCTTTTTAAATGTCATTCAGCTTTAAGAAAACAGCATCTCTGAAAACCCCAGCCCTTGAACTACTGTTCTCTCCCTCTCTTGCTCTCTGTTCAAAGTTAAATTTCTTGGAAGAGTTATATGCATTCCTCATCCACACTTCCTCATCTCTAATTCGATCTATCATCATTTGGCTCACCCTAACTTAACTTTCAACTATCTCTACCCCAGTCCACCACTCCACTGAAACTTCTCTCCTAAAGTTAACAATTACATTCAAATTCCCAAATACAACGGTACTTTCCTTTCCTTATCATGTTTCATCTTTTTTTCTGATTTTCTAGCTTTAGATGTTGATCTGATCATATTCTCTTCCTACCCACCTTGGTTTCCTGTTATCCTTTTGGGTTTCCCTTCTAACTTTCCGTTTCTTCCTTTGAAGTGTCCTCTTCTTCTGTTAATCTCTTACATATTGATGTTCCCCAAAGTTCAATCTCCTGCCCACTTCCTCCTCATCCCATGTACTGTTACTGAGTAGCCTAATCCAAACCTATGGCTTCAACTGAACCAATATTCCAGGGACTCTCCCCTCTTCACATTTAGCCCAGAATTTTCTCCTGAGCTCCACATCTGAAGTTCCAGCTGGACACTCCTGGGTACTGCAAACTAAACCTCTTCCTCCATAGTTCTGTCCCTCTCTTCCCTATCTCCTGAACATCATCACCACCCACCAAGTCAGAAAACTGGAATGTTTCACGGATATCTCCCTCTCTCTCACCCTTAGATGCAATTAATCACAAAGATCTGTCAACTCTGCTTCCTAAATATGTTTTCTTAATTTAGTCCCTCCTCCCTGCTCCCATTTGCCATAGTCCAGACTTTCATCATTTATTGCCTGGATCACTGCCATCACCTTCCAACCAGTCCTTCTGCCTCTAGTTGGGCCTCCCTCCAATTTATCATCTATGTTACTGCCAGGATGATCCTTATAAAATGTAATTTAGACAATGTTACTCCCTTGTCTAAAATCTTTCAATGACTACATGTAGTCTGCAAAGTAAAGTTCAAGTTTCCTTATATTTCATAACAGGTTCCTCATGGCCTGGCCGCAACCCAACTCTGTGGGCTCTTCTCCCACCAACCCCTCATAGCTATCCTACTCTCTAGGTCAGCATCCCCAATGCTGTTCTGAGCTGTACTTCCTCAAGATATTAATAAAAGTCTGGGCAAGTGAGTTTGAGAAAGGATGAAAACACATTTCTACACAGTAATATGCATTGAGAATGTCCAAGAAATGAACAGAGTGGGTCAAGTTTGAGCACCAAACTCTATTAACATCTCAAGGAATTCAATTTGGGAAATGCTACTGAAGGCATCAGAGTTTCTGGAATATGCCATACTCTCTTTCGTTTCTCCCCACTCTACCTGGGTTGTCATT